AACAAAGGAAGTTGGGGGTACAAGGAGTCTCATGTGTCCCGTTGTATGCAATTTAACAACAAGCCAACCACTTTATATTATAAACAGGACAYAGATGTCCTAAATCAGGATTGACAAGACTTGAGAGGTCATGGCCACTTGCCTTTTGCCTGAATTTTATTTGTTGATATAGTTGCATATGTCTGAAGGTGGACAAAGCCTCTGAAAGCCATTGTCACATTGCTCAGAGCTGAAACCCAATCTTCGCAATGTGTACTGGTGAATTTGCCTTCAGTCAAGCCAGCAGAAGGCTGCAGCTTCCCTTTGCCATACAGTATCCTTTTCTTCCTTAGAGGATCTATTCAAGTAGTTTCAACACTTCTAGTAMGCCAAAGTAAACAACACAGCAAGGTTTCCTGCAGAAGCAAGCTGCCATTTTTTCAATTTTGGCCACAACACGTGATGATCATATGCGGTTAGTTCATTCCAAAATATTATAATTTAATTTGGGTTCAAAATACTTACATTCTCTTCCCCTTTCTCCCTTATTTCATACAGTTTGGAGTTGTCTTGCTTATTAATCAAAATCAAGATAACTTAAGGTTTTATGTCATCTCTTACACGGAAACAAGAAGAAATAGAGATAAAGGAAAATAATGTATGGAAAGAACTGATTCAGCTCATCAGAATTCTGAATTTAGTTTACATGAGATCCAAAAGCATTTTCCTGCTTTTCATATCCAAGTCCTTAATGAGGCAGTTTTGTCAAAGTGAAATCTCAAAAATAGAATGTTCCAGTAAGATGTCTTTTAAATCTGTCTACTCTTTGTGTATGCTAAACTCATCAACTGCTTTTCTAAAATAGCTACTGTTTTGCAGCAAACGAAGCACAGACAATTGAATGTGTCAACACCACTCGTGGAGTCACGCTAAGATTCATTTATTTTTGTCAGGCACCCATACTAGTATAGTGAATCAATGGCACTGCATTTGTAGTCAGATGTCACATATTGCAAATCTATCTCAAAGAGTTTCGTTCTGCTCTCAGACTTTGGTTGTGCACTGCAGTAAGGGCTGCAGTGACCCAGAAGAATTGGCACCTGGGAGCAYCAAGATTGCCTTTGGCTGGCCCCATTTCCAAATCATTCCAAAAGAAAGGAAATCCTTTTTTTAGTGTACTGCTGTTYAAGAAAAGCCTACTTTGTCAGATTAGAATGACTACAGCAAAATATTTGGTGCATTTTTTTTTCAAGGTGAGACCGAGAAAGTAGTAGCATCAGCTCAATGAATGATGGACAAAAAACCAGGGATGCTAATCAAAAGATAATCCTTATCACAGGATCTGCAGGACCTCCACTGATCCTTAGTGATGGATTCAACCCCTTGTTACCAAGCTGAAGATATACTTCAATCTGGAAATTCCCTGCACAGGACTTCTCGAATTGTCGGAAACTCTGTAGAAAAATTTGTATGCCTGTACAATGCAAAAAACCACAGTGGCCCAACATGTCCTAGACAAAGATCTATGATACATTCTTTTCCAAAGACTCATGGAAACAGAAACATTTCTTCAACTGAGCAGCAAAACAGTAACATCTGAATTCTCAGATAAAGACAAGCTAAGACAGACCTACTTTGTGCATTAAATAATGAGAATATATGGTTTTGCTGTAACATTTATCATAGGAAGGACTATGGGAAAGGAAAAGCTTTGCTTTTCTGGTCTGATCAGGTATTTGAGTAAAAGAAAAAAAGGCTCCAGTGGGTTTGAATTGGAGGCGACTCAAATGGTTGTCACTTCCAAGCCATCAGAGTCATTCCGTACAAGCTCAGTAAATTTCACTCTTCCAGATGTTGTTGYTTCTAAGAATATATGTGAGGTTGTATCCTAGAGCATATGGTGCCATTTCAAAAGTTGCACCACAGTAGGCAGCTGAGTGGGAGGAGGCAGGGAGGGAAAGAGGCTGTGTCATGGATGTCTGTCTGTCAAAGCCACCTTTCCATCAGTTTTCCACATGCCTGTCATTGCTGCAAAGGGCCRTATTGCAGACAAGAATCAGTTAAATTGCGATGTAGTTTGTTACCAAGTSGAAGAGTTAACAGTTTCTCTCATCTTGTAATCTCACAGACATAGGTTATTTGCTTATTAGACAAATTTGACCCTGCAAATATTGGTGCAGTGCAAGAAGTAATGAAGTTTTACTCCAAGTAAAACACATTATCCCTCCCACTAATAGTTAGGACAATCACTGAAGTTGGGTTCCTACCCATGACTGGAAGTGTAAACCCAGAGAGGATCCTCAGGAGGTCTCTGGCAATGTTGGGGTGGCAAGGATGGACTACAGAATAGCCCACAAGGCCATTTAGATGGTTTTCTAACCTTACATAGCTAAAATATGGTGCATGTTCTGTATTTTCCCATGATGCCTGCCCAAGGGAAGGCMTTGTTTGGAGAAACTACCTCTTGCACCTTCTTTTGGAGTGATTAATAATGTGCTACATCAGAAAACATTTATACTAATCTTTTCCAAAATTTATAAATCAACACAGAATATTTAAACATATCAGAAAGTAATAACCTACAACAGACTGACTTTAAAACAGTGGCTGAATTGGAAAATTATTGTATTTTAAAGTCTTAGTTTCCTGACCCTTTACAGACTCACATGAATAAGCTGGAGGTACAACTCTGTTTCCTATTACTTAACAATTGAGCAARCTAGTCTCTTGACCTTACTTGGATTTGCACCAGTGGCACAAAAGAAAATGTTTCAAATTTGAATAATGATCCATTAAACTTGCTATTTCATTACTTCAGCAGGATCTGCACCAATGGCACACAGATGAAGAGCCATGTTTCACTGCTGATTCAAACAGCCAACCAGTTGAAAACAAAACAAAGAAATTACAGTTGTCACTGRAAAAAGAATCACAACTATGGCAGCAAAACTATAGAAATTATATGAACACCTATTCTAAATATGAAGTGTCTCTGATAACTCTCAATGAGAGGTTAAATCATCCTTTCCCACACTCTAATGAAGAGAACAAACTGGTATCTTCTTGTAATCACATTGAAGGCTCTTTTTTTTTTTAAATTGAGATTTCTACAGGTAACTACGAAGTACTTCCTGTGTCAAACTGTTTCCCCCAAATGAGTTAAAGATGTCATTTTGTAGTGCTCATGATGAATCGAGAAAGCCACTATGTTGCCCAGTAGATTTCATGGAAAAAACATGGCTGGCAGAGCCAGCTTAATGACAGGGCTGTACTTTAGTTAATGGAGAGATATTGATAATTAACAGCTGGCAGTCAAAGTAATGTAAAAAATTTGCCGAGAGGTTACTAAATTGAGTTATATTTCAACTCTGACATACCAGGACAAAATGTGACCATCAGCTTTATATTGACTTTGATGAAGGAAATCTGTTTTTCTCTGGAAGGTCAACATGAACGACAGTGTGGATTGCCAGTGAATTACCCAGMATATATCCCTGCAGTAAAAGGTTCCTGTATCACACACACTTGTTTTCTTASTCTATCACAAATTTGACTCCAGGACATCATCCCATTTGCAATCTTCTCTTGAGCTAGCATGGACCTATCATTATAACCATCTGGTTTACAAGGCTTTTCACATCACAGCAACAAAGCCCATATTATCAATTTCAGCTTCTTAGTCTTTAAAAAATTTGTAAACTTCTTTTGTTACTTTAAGACAATAATCTACTACATTTCTATACAAAAAAAAGTCTCATACAAATCCCTCTAGTAGGCACTTACAAGCCAGAAAGTAATAAGCCTAATGAGGCCAGTGGAATCTGAATTTTGCCCCTCCTTCTTACCATCTACAAGAGCAACAAATCAACAGGCTGCACAGGGACGCTGAGATGCTCTGAATAAACAATACTGTTTTTAGTGTAAGGTGTGAGAATCCTCTGCAGGAAGCTACAAAATGTCAAGCTATTTGCTCGCACTTCAGATAATTTCAGATACGTTTGCGAAAAAAAAAAAAAATCTTTTTGCCTTGTCTACAGCAGAATATTCAACACATAGTGACTGAACCCGTGAGGGAACAGCAGTATGAGCACCAGCGATGCAGTATATCTTCAGTAACCATGCTGTTTTGGGTTCAGGCTTACACCCACCCACATATGTTGTATTATACCATTGCATAACCAGAGATCCCTGGAGCCTGGATTCTCAGTCTCTATGGCTGCACACACTGCAGCTGCTGTGCCAATACAGAAATACCGGTATCGTGTGCTGGTGCACACCCCATCAAAGTGCTACTAGTGCGACTTTCCCTAAGACACAGGATATTCCTTCGTTTCTTTTTTTTTTTTTTTTTTTTTTTTTTTTGTGCTAGTCGTCCATCTAAGAAAGTGGTATGCTAAGGAGAAAACTCCTGGAGTGGTTCGTTTATGTCTATGCAAATTACAAATGCTTTCAATAATTGCTTGTTAGTACACAGTCAAAAGGAGATTAATAGGAAGTCTGCTATTATCAAGATAGCACTGAAAATGTAAGAAGAATATCCAAAAATATAAGATCTGCTGAAGTCAGGGGGCTTGAATTTTGACAATGGGTTATCATTTGCAGTTGATGACAGTGCTAGTAAATGTGGAAGACGTTTCCTTACGCATTCATGCAAAACGAGTTTGAATATTTGCTTCCTGAGAGTTTCCAAGATCACATAAGTAAGACAAAAAAAGATGACTAAAAGTTACTTCATCAAAACAACTGTTGCTTTGTCTGCATAACAGCTTTAGTCTCAGAGGAAAAGGCAAGGGCTCGCRGATGAGAGAGGGGAAGAGGCCTGGGAAGGTAGGAAAAACTCTTTACAGAGCCCCAAGAACTCACAAGTTGGTGGGAAATTATTGTGTCTATTTCTAGCCTGGAGAAAACAAGGGTGACTTTATCACTCTCTGCACCTACGTCAAAGGAGGCTGCAGCCAGCTGGGGCTCGGCCACTTCCCCCAGCGACAGGACAGGAGGACACAGCCTCAAGCTACGCCAGGGGAAGTTTAGGTTGGATGTCGGGAACAAGTTTTTCGAAACGGAGATTAGACATTGGAATGAGCTGCCATGGGAGGTGGTGGAGTCCCCGTCCCTGGAGATGTTTAAGAGAAGATTGGATGTGGCACTTGGTGCCATGGTCTGGTTGCCAAGGTGATGTTTGGTCATAGTTGAACCCGACGATGGCAGAGGTCTTTTCCAGCCGTATTGATTCCGTGATTGTGTGATTCCACGCTAACCGAGGCATTGCATTGCCGGTCCCTGTTAATCGGGGATGCCGGGGCTCGGCTCGGATTCTCGGCGCTGGATTGGTGCTGCCTGCGCCGCGCGCAGCGCGCTAGTCTCGCACCCCCCCGCGCCGTAGCCCC